CTTGCAGTTGTATAAATTGATTTTAAAAGAGAAAATTTGTATGCTTTACAATTTTATGAAAAGAAAAAAAAAAGTTTTAATTCTCATGTTAAAATATTGAGAAATTTAATTTGTTCAGTTATTAAAAAAAAAAAAAAAAACAGGTTACGTTTATATCTAGGCTTGATGCAACACAATCAATTAAACGTCAGATGTTAAATTCGACTTTCAGAGTTTAGTGAGTTTACTAAAACTGTTAAAATATAATTGATCTGTATAATCTGTTTTTATGTGTCACATTATTCATGTCTTTGTACGTTGTTTCATGCAATATTTTATTTAATTTTGAACAAGTCAAGGGTCCCGGATGATCGTTATTCTACCTTTTAGATGTCCAATCTAAACATTACTGTAATATAGAAGTTGATACACACTCACAATTACATTTATGTAATATAAATCAATAATAATCAATTAACTTCGTATTCAGTGTCAATGAGAACAAGACAATTGATGAATAGAAATATAGACGGTGTGAATTGGGCCTCACCCCTAAAAATCCAATCAATTTTCAATTATGTACAATATACATGTACACACTGTTCTCGGTAGAAGTTTCAGAGTGTGACTGTAAGCAAAAACTTCAATTATCTGTGATAGAAAGATCATTTTTGCATAATGTTAGATTTGCACAATCGGCTTACTCTGCTTCACTCCATTCAAACAGGTATACGAGCCTTCCAAAGTTCCAAGGAGCTCCGAGTAATGTGTTTACGCATACCCCCCCCCCCCCAACACACACACACACACACACACACAAAAGAATTAATAAAGTCACGGGTTTTATTTAAAAAAAAAAAAACGTAGTTAAAATTAAAAAAAAATTATTTTAACATTTCATTCTTATAGTCAGGTAATGACAGGGTGGGTAAATCTTAAAAATGTCTTCATTCCTGAATGAAAAAAAATCAAATTATGCTGTTATGAAATGGTTTTATAAAGATTATTTTACAGAGATAAAAAAAAAAGAAAGTCAACAGACAATATTTTTTAGAGTTCTCAAGCGTAAATAAGCAGTGATTTCATGTAAATACAATTGCAGAGTAAACTGAGATAAGTCTACGGCAACACTAAGAGAGGGGTGAACAGCTTCCAAATGTCAAATTAATTATTTTGATCCTCTGAAAATGAAATCTTTGATAGAAAAGGAATACGGAAATTGAGGTTTGAAAAAAAATTCTAAAACATTGCCGATGATGTGAACTTCAAAACAACGATCCGGCACTTCATTACAATTTAATTGATCAAATATACGAGCGATGTTTTTTTTATTAGAAGAGGGGGGGGGGCGTGGTGTTTGTACCAGCGTTTTAAAGGTTATAGTCGAACTAAAAATTAACTAAATGTTTAAAAACGAAAATGGAGAAGTAAAACTGATCAAAACGAAATAAAAATTACTTAAAATTTTTTTTAAGAGAGAATAAAGAAAAAATCGGAATTATCTTTGAAAGGCCTCCCTTTCCGTAGTGATAAAAAACTTGCATGCGCATCAAAAAAAAATGAGGGTGGGGTGGGGTGAGGGGGGTAATCAAACCATTTAATTACAATATTTATACTTGTAGTTCGGAAGAATATTGTTTTTGACAGAAATAAAACTAGTTATCAAAAATAAAACGAATGTTCTGCCTGCATGCGTTTGATTTTTTTAAATAACACCTCGTTTCGTTTTAGATTTTAATTCATTGCCATTACTGTAGGCAATGAAAATAGGACATCAAATTAGTTTTGAAAATTAGCACTGCTTATTAGCTTCACATTTTATTGCGTCTTGCAGTTTTTAAACCTCTGAGTTTTGTGCCAAAGGTGACAGTGTTGATGATCTTCTAAAAGGCCCTATATATACTAATTCTGCAGGTCACACTTGTGACGTCACACACGTCACTTCCGGTATTCAGCCAATTTCAGTGCGAGCTCTCAGGTGTAAACTAAGCTACTTTTTGTAATATCTCTAATCAGCAAGAGAGATGGTTGTTGTGTTGTATATCATTTTACTCGTAATTATAATGACTATCGACATATGTTTAAATGTAAAACCTACCAAGCCTTTCTTTAAGGGTAATAAAACACTAATTTTTTTTTTAAAATTCATGCGTTAAATAATTCATACGCCTTTTTGATTAATTTAACTTTTTTAGAATCCAATATATCGCATATCACTTTAAAAATATCGTGTATCGTATTGAAATATTTTGTTCAATACACAGACCTAGATTTTGATAAGTTTTATCTTCCGCTGAATAGGATATCGATTGCATTAACAAATATTTAAAATGAGGAAATGTCTACAGACACCAAATTTTAATCATCTGCAAGTTTCATTGCCTCTTTTGAAATTCAAAATTAGTATTTTGCATCTTTATTTCTCTACCTTAAATGCAAATTTGATTCTGATAGATTATATCTTCTGCTTGAATTGTTGTCGTTGACATCAATAAATCTTGAAGTGAAGACATCTCCACACGCATAAAAATTCTATGATTCATGTTACCAATATGGTTAATTGAGAGATATCTTTTTCAAAATTGGAAAGTGGTGTGTGTTTTTTTTTAATACAAATACATAGGCGTAGTCACAGGGGGGGCACTAGCCCCCCCCCCCCACTTTCAGATCGGGGGGGGGGGCAAGATATGTCTGTGCCCCCCCCCCCACTTATTAATGTAGAACAAAATCACATCTATGTTGAAATATTAAACCTCATTGTGTGGCAATTTTTTTTATTATATTTTCAACAACAACTAAGTAAGCATTTCTCTTGAAGTAATAGTTGTATAATATAGTAATGTAATATAGTAATTAAATCTGTCAAGACCTCTTTTGTTTCTAGTTTGGGATAGGGAGTACAGGTCATAAATTTAAGTTTAGACATTTCTGTTCACTCAGCATAGATCTGTTATCTAACAAAATTAAATGAGAATTACAAGCTACCCCTTGTGTTGACATCTGAAAGTCATTATTAAATATTTGCTGTATCCCATTCCTTGTATAACACAGTCACAAAGTAAGTTTTGTCAAACCTCCGGATTTTAATTCTTTCATTTTGCTGATTCATTAGCACTCTTTTTATTTTTACATATCTGTACTATAGAATTCTGTCTAGTCAATCCAAATCTCATCAAAATAAGTAATTTCTACAAGATCGCTGTAGTATTGGAGATTCTGATGCTGACGGTATACCTGTGATGAATATCAATCAACTTTAAAAACACTATTTGAAATCCTCTCATTCAGCTTAGAAAGGCTTGCTGATTTAAGGGGGGGGGGGGGGGGGGGGGGGACTCACACACTTAAAATTTTTAAAGTATGTTATGATTAATATTATTAATGCCATACTTTGATACATATATAACCAATGCCGCTATTTTTGTTTCTGGTTTTACTATTAAATTACACGAAAACTCAGGAGCTTCCAGGGGCTTCGCCCCCTAGGCCCCACCATTAAAAGTGTGATATGACTAATATTATTTCATGTCATACCCCCGTATTACATATCCTGTGTTCGCCCATGGATGTTACATGTTGTTCATCTTAATATTTCTTTATATAACACACATGGCCTTTTTTTTTTTTTTTTTTTTTTTGCTTGTCTAGGAATTTCTGTAGTTGAGCCCCCCCCTTTTAAGTTTGTGACTACACCTCTGAAATATCATTGAAATTAAGTAGCGTATTGAACATTTCTTCAATATCAACACTGTTGAAAAGATACTATATGTAATTAATTCAAATCCCTGCAACTTTCATAAATGCATTTAAGACTATCATTAAATTTAGGTGCCAAAAATTCCAATAATCGTGTTATCTATTTCAAAAGTGCATCATGTACCGTTCATACAAATGTCATTAATAGCGAGCGCAGCGAGCGTCGCGAAGCGACGCTCGCGAAGCGAGCTCAATAGACTAACGTGTAAGAACAGAGGAAATTCGGATTGAAATCTGTACATACGTCAGGCAAATTTCTCTGTGCAACATTCCCAGAATTCCTGCACTACCCAATGACCTTTGCGCGAATAAATAAATAAATAAATAAATAATAACGTAAAGCATGAAAGGCAATCAGTTTGTAGATATTTTTCAAATAATCAAAAAATAACTCTGCATTGTTTTTCGACCAAAATTGCACTAGGTCTAGAGTTTCAACCAGACGCTCGGCTGTCTCCGTAAGCTCCGACGAGCTCCGTGACGTCGCGTGACGTCACAGGTAGTCGAGACGTCTCGTGCGGCTTGATGTTTGAAGTGGCTGATAAATTTTTCAAGTTTTTTCGATGGTACAACTGCGCTCGCCCCAACGGTCACACCGTAAAACATATTATTAAGTCGTGTATTGAACATTTCTCCTATTTCAACATTGTTGAAATTAGTATTCCAAAACTGGGTCATCTTAATCTCTGTGAAATGAACTTAAAAAAGATTAAATCCTCAAAACTTCCATGAAAACATTTACGACTATCCTATGTTTCTGCAAGGGAAATTATTCTAAGACTTCACTGTAAATTTCATAGCCTCCTTTTCATGTTAAATTTTTGAAACTTTTTTCTCTTGCTAAAAAATATATTTGATGGCGATAGATTTTATCTTCTGGTTGAAAAGGTGTTTTTAACATCAACAAACCTGAAAAGAAAATATCCTTACAGGCATCAAATTCTAATTTCCAAGTGATCAAGACGGTTTTTATTGAAATTAACTATTCCAAAACTGGATCATGTACGTTATACTAAAATATCATTGTACTAACATGATTAAACCATAGACATAGATCGTTCGCTTTAGGTCTATGCAGAAACAAAATGAGAAATAAGTGAAACGTTAAAATTAATTCAGACTGATTTTTTTAAAAACAAAGATTACAATTGTCATTTTAATCGTGTTAATAAACCTGTAGTGTATTTGGGGGTGTTTTTTTGTAATTGGGTTCGGGCTCGGGAGCCCATTTCTCTCTGTCTCTTCACGCGTTTCCGCCAAGCTGGGTGCAGGCCACGAATTTCAGAGCTCCTTGAATTCGTAATTAATTGTTCTTAATCAATACATTATTTTTATCTAAAGTGATTCAGTTGATTTCATACTATTAGGAAATCACTTTAAACTGATGCTTTGAGTTTTATTACATAGCTTAACATCTATTGTGTCAGGGGATGTTAGTACTGCAACGTTATAAGATTCATGCAGGTCTGGTACAATCACTAGATTTAGCTACGTAGCTTTATTTACCTACCTGAGGTAGCTTTATTTAGCTACCAAATTGATCTATTTCTATTAAAAAGCATTTTTCTCAGGGTGTGCAGACAATATCATTTTGATGCAGTGATCATTTTCAACTTTGAACTCATCTGAAAACAACTCATGAAAAAATCCCTCTTTGAAAAAAGTCTTTTTCTGCGCAATTTCAATCAAAGTTCTGAAAGTTTTGGGGCTATGTATGACAGTTAGAACAGTTACTCCTTGAATAAAATGACAAAGAAGTCCAGTTCCGGTTAACACGATAATAGGTCGGTAATTATTCAGCACAATGTGAAGTAATCATACTCAGTCATGCCTCACCGCACCTTACCGCACGGTCAGATAACCAAACAATGGAATTACATGTTTTGCTGTAAATTGTCCAAACGCACCAATGTATAAATTATCTCTGCTTTGAATTGTTTTTTAAAGCCTTCCTATTATAAATATCAATAGTCATTTAATTGCGACTTTTTGTCTCTTTTTAATAAAAAGAAAACTTTTGAAAATTTACCTTGAAATAGCTAAATAAAGCTACCTGAGGTAGGTTAATAAAGCTACGTAGGTAATTCTACCTACGTAGCTAAATCTAGTTATTGTACTGGACCTGTCATGCTAAGCATACAAACACTGGCTTAGACTAGTTCAGTTCAATCCGCCACATAATGAGTACCCAAGAAGGTGTTATAATAAAATGACGTAATCTACTGTTGTGGTATATAGTGAAAATAAAATTAGCAGTGATTTAAGAGAAACGAGAGCTTTAAAATAAGAAAAGTAGGGGATAAGAAATTAGGCCTACCATGATTAGACATTGGGCTTTAGCATTAGTTAAAAGTTTAATTTTTCAAGATTAACATGGCCCTGCATTGAAAAAAAAATATATTAAAGAATTTTTGTAGTTTTTACATAGATTGACTGGGAAAGAATAAGTAAGGATCCAAAATCAATGGTTGCCTCATCTGCAAGATGGAAGGCAGGAAAAGGGCACACTCCGATGCGGGTGAAAGTGCGAGTAGTTCACCACCACACGACAGTGACACTGAAAAGTCAACAACTACGTTAGAGCGTTCATTTCCAAATAGCACTTCCAAATGGAGGCGATCTGATATAGACAAATTGGGAATAAAACTCTTGTACAGGGCTTTCGCGATGGATGTTGTATATGAATGGGGGCTATATACAATGTTTAGAAAGGATGTAGTTTCAGAAGAATTGAATACTGTGGAGGAAATTTTACATGTGTGTAATTCAATTGAAGCGAATTTCACATCGTTTGAAGAATTACAGAGAAAGTTTATTGGAAATTCCGTGATATGTAATGAATTCGTTCCAAGAGAAAAGATCCCTGATGGAATTGGATTGTAAGTATTGTCCTATATAAGATTGTCATTCATATATGAAATATGATGAGAAATTTTGTGTGAACTTTGCCGACTTTTTACTAAGTTTAGGTCACTCACCTAAGTGGGATAAACAGGTTTGGACCAATATCTCCCAAACAGGATATATTATATCCCAAAAGATTTATCATGACCCGAACAATCTATTATATATACCTATGTAACTGGGCTTCAAGGGCAACATACCAGAATATTAGCCCCGAGGTGACGGGAAAGCTCAGGCTTGTTATAATGTTGCCCGATGCGGAAGGCACTCTCTGAGGGCAACATAACACAGCTGCAGAGTTTCCAAAAACTTATGGTCCTACCGGATAAAACCAAGAGAAAATTGAAATGTCTGATGCAATTTGCTACAGTACCGGTCCCTGTAACCAATCATTTTCTGCCTTAACAATCTTTTGTTGTTTTTTTTTTTAGTGTTCTTTGTACCTATAGTTTTATAGTTTTTGTCTTTTCATCATAATCTCAAAAAGTCTTTTGTGATTTTTTTTCAACGAGTTATTTTCTGGCAATGAAGCAAAATAATCAGGGACAGATAATTTTCATCTACACTTCTACGAATAATCGAGAGAGTTCCGAATTTGGCATATAAATTCGAAGCGTGAAAAAACAATAAAAAGCAGAGTTGAATTTGTGTCTATATATTTATATGGGTTATATTTTAGAGTAAGACATATATGAGCTCAAAAAGGATAGTTATTTTTAAATCGGTAGTTATTTCCAGTGCAACTTTTTTGTATTCTTCAAAATGGTTTCGGAGCGGATCCAGTCCAATTTGCTACAATGATGAATAGGTTCCCTACTAATGGGACTTCAGAGTTCTTGAAATCTTTTTCTCGCTGTCAGTCATTTGGACCGACTGCCATGTGAAGTTTGTCAGTCCAGACAGATTTCTATCAGTCCAAAATAAATTCAATAAACACATGAAAATTGTATTTGAATTTTATTATCAATAAACAGGGCGTCTATAAACACTGCACACTTCTTACCCTAGAGCCGTCAACAAACTTGTTTAAACAGTTTACCAATCATAGTTACCATTTTGTTACTGTAGTAGTTTGGCACAAGTTAGATATAATCTGTGTCTCAGAACAAGTCCTCACAGTTATACTCGCAATGTAGCAATTAATTTCAGAATTGCTCCGAAACGAATTTGCACTGGAAATAACTTCAAATTAATTACAACAAACCTCTTTTAGGTCGCGTATGCCTTTAAACCTAAATTATGATCCAAATAAAGACAATGATTCAACTAATATTCTTTATGCTTTTTTTCGCTTCAAATTTACATGCCATGTTTGCATTCAGAACTCTCTCGAATCTTCGTAGTAAATGTACTGAGTTCGAGTTATTGCCCGTGTTTATTTTGCGACATAGTGAATATACGGAGCAAATTCTATTATTAAACTGGGTCCGTAGAACATATATCATTTTAACGATAGAACATTGTCTCTATATTTGCACTCTTATTCATCGAGAAGCTATTTCAACATGCAGAAAAAGAGTTTGAGAGATTACGATCGGTCGATTACAGGGAATTCGTACGAAATTTAGTAAGATTTTCGCAAGTTCCGGTCATTTGGACTGACACAGAATGGAAAGTAATCGGTCCTTGGTTGATTTTATCGGTTTTGCCGACAGGACCAAAAGATTTCAAGAACTCTGGGACTTGAGCGCTTGTCCCGATCTGTCGAATCATTGACACATTAATCTGAGTACTTTCAAGGTCTAGTTAGGTTTGTATTGATGTTCTGTAGCAATTTTATATACATGTATTAATTTCAGGTGAAACGGACCAGTCCCAACCAGTGTCATATATATTCTTTTAAATTACATCATGAATCATACTAGAAATTTTTTTTTGACTGATAGAAATTGCTGGATAAATAACATTCACACCAAAAATTTCATTAATGAATTCTTTGCCATATAAGTACAAATGTTAAGACTAGTACAAATGTTAAATTAATATTTTTGTTCGATAATAACAGATGTTCAGGACGATTTGAGGAGTTTCAACAAAAATTGGAACTTGTTTTAAGAGAGGGAATTGAAGTGAATGCTTCTGTCTCAGAATCCAACTTTCAAACATTATTTGAGGACTTTCTCAAAATATGTGGCATAATCACCAGGTAAATATGCGTTAATTACTATATTTAGTTCACTTAAGTAAAGGTTTTGAAATTGTTGAAAAATTCATATTGAAATTTGTTCAAATGTATGTGTGCACATGTATAATATTAAGTTTGCTCAAATCATGACCCCTATGTAGGACCATACTAAAAGATTTTAAAATGTTAAGGAGGATGTAGGTAAAAAAAAAAACCCTCCAAAAAAAAAAACCCCAAAAAATCAGAGTCCCAGTGATTGGAAAGGGCTTGTGCCACGCGCCATAGTCAAATTTTGTGAAAAATGGCACATTAAATCAATCAATCATGGCGCCAAGGTGCACATTCAATTTTTAGCGAAGTTATTTGGAAATATTTTGTGTACGACTTTCTCTCCTGTTTTAATTTCATTTAAATGCAGTCAATTTAAAACAAAATCACAATTAATCTAATTGGTTGAAACCTGTCAAAAAGTACTTCCGGTTAAACAAAGCACTTACATGAGGTACAATACTTCATTCATTTGTATGATAGGGCTGTTCCTTTTCAAAAACTGTCGTAATTTTAACACAAAATATGGGTCAGTTATATTCTAAGAAAGTTCCTTTAAAGAACTTTATTCGATAATAACCAATATTTGCCCCCCAAAATCGAACTTTGACTAAGAAATATTTGATTATGTTCTTCAACAGGGGGATATATGCTGACTTCAAAGCACTGAATATTTTCATAAATAATGACGCCATATGTACGTAATGACGTCACAAACATGACGTAAATTTCAGTTTTTTATGAATTTTACAGAAAAATGTACATATTTCGTCGATATTTTGAGTAAAAGTCACCGAGCGCATGTGTGTTCAGGATCAATATTTTGATATGATGTGTAGAATGATAATATCAATGAAATATGTCAACATTGTTCCTGAACAAACTTGCGCTCTACAAATCTTAAAGCTAAAATTGTTGAAATTTTGTCAATTTTGACCTCTTTCTGAAAAAGGATATAAAATCAGACTAGTTTGTGACGTCATTAAAACAAAAATTGTGAATACACTGCTTTGACACTATAATATTTTCTGTTAATTTATATTTCTCATACAATTTATTGAATTCAGCACATTTCGGGAAGTTTTCAAAATTTGACTTTTGTGGGGGCAAATATATGTAATATACCGCATATAGTTCTTTACTGCATTTCATGCGTTAAAAATCAGATTCGATTAATTAAAAACGTGTTTTCTCTTGTATTTCATATTTGTTTGTCACTTTGTTATTTCTTAAAATGGCCATTCAGATTATATTGATGGCCCATTCGTTTTCGAAATGGCCCATCAAAAATGTGGACAGTTGCGCCATAGTCCCATTGACCATTTTGGCCATCCCAATCACTGGAGTCCTGATGAATAAAATGCAGATGAATTTTGTTCAAATCATGTGACAGAAGAATGGGGTAGGGAGACGGTAAGGGATAAATTTTTACATAGGAATATAGGGAAAAAATATTCTAATTTGTCTCAAAAGAGTTTACATGTATCGTGCCTCAGTGTTCTTTGGATGTATTAAATTGTGCCCTACATCATAACACTGTCCCATGGAGTGTGTCATTTTCTATAATACAACTCCTGGCAAAACATTCATTCTGTCATCCCTTAATACGCATACGATCATCTCGATGGTGAAGCAAAAATCTGCACTCTTCACTAAACTAAACCCTTTGCCAGTTTCTCAGAGTCCAGTTGCTAACTGTGTTGCACCAGCTGACTCATGCATGCCTATGACCTCTTGTCAAAATAAGACCAAAATAAGCTCGTCTGACTAGCAGTCCAAACTCTGGAAGGGGATAGTGCATTGTCAGCAAAAAATAGTCTTGTTTCCTGCTACCAGCCTTTGAAAAATAGGGTAGGTAGGATTGATTGATTGATTGTATACTGTTTAACGTCTCTCTCCAGAATATTTCACTGATATGGAGACGTCACCATTGCCGGTGAAGGGCTGCAAATTTGGGCCTATGCTCGGCACTCGGGGCCATTGAGCAGGGAGGGATCTTTATCGTGCCACACCTGCTGTAACACGGGGCCTCGGTTTATACGGTCTGATCCGAAGGACCGCCCCATTTAGTCGCCTTTTACGACAAGCAAGGGGTACTGAGGACCTATTCTAACCCGGATCCTCACGGGATGGGTAGGTAGGAAGGAAAATGATTTTATTTCCTTTTTTCTGACAAAATTTTTTTTTGGGGGGGGGGGGAGGGTCCGTAATGGTGCAAGTGCAGGAGTGATTCACTACCGCACAGATTTCAGCTGAAATTATCAGTTATGCATTAAGACATGAATTGATCCAAAAATATACAGAACAATGTGTGGTATTGGTTATTTTTTGTGTATGTCAACATCACAACTCAAATTTATCTGCCATATTTACGGACCTTGATCGATTTTATTTTGGGACAACCAATAAGAATTCAGAATATAGGGAAGCGGATTGGTTAGGATTTCCCTTATTTTAAGCATAAATATCACTCTTGGCTTTATGATAAAAATTAAAAATATCCCATGGAATGCTTTGATTTATCAATGTTTATAGTGATATCATATAACACAAACATTTATCAACACCAACATTTACTTTATCAAGTGATTCTAAATTTCATGCGCAAGTCTCATGCGAGAACTTTCATGGCTCTTTATCAAGTGATTCTAAATTTCATGTGCAAGTCTCACGCGAGAACTGTCATGGCTGCTGAGGAGAACGACTGGTAAATACGCATTTATTTTACTTGGTGTTTGCATATAAAGGGCTATGAAGCTGATAGTGAATAAAAATTCTGTCTCATTAGAAGTAAGTTGAATGCAAAAACAATTTATTTTGCCTGCAGTCGCCCGTATCTAACAAATAAATGCACCATTACGGAGATGCAGTGGTATTGTAGCCCTCTCCTGAAAATATCATATTAAAAAAAAATTGGAGAGGGCAACATTGTTGCAGCTAGTATTTGATGAAAGTCCATATCTAAAACTTAGAATTACATGAAATGCTTGTTTTGTGTTAACATGGAAACAGATGGCATAATGATGAAATTCCAGAAATTCTCGATTTTTTTCCCCCCAAAATCAAAAAAAAAAAATTAGAGTCAGCCGCAAAAATAGGGTTGGTTGGGTAGTAAGAAACATGCATGACTGTTATTTTTTTTTTTGCCAAGTATATAATGCTTCATAAATGACATATTTTTGTCATTCTGAGACATCTGGTATAGGCTTTGAGTTTTTTGTGTAGAATTTCATGTTATAGATACAAAGAGATCAGCCCTAATTAAGTAGTGTATTTTATTTATTCATGTTTACATTGCTGTTCCACTTAATTTTAGGCACCAACCTGATATTGCTGTAAAGAAGATGAAGGTCAAGGGTGAAATTGTTTCTTCAGCACCAGATATATTATGCTATGGTTTGGAGGGGAAAGTTTTATGTGTTGTAAAGGTAAAAACATTTTATCTTGTGACTATTTCTGTCTTGAAGATTCAAGTGATCTGTATATTGCTTTCCTTTTCCATATTTCCTTACCATCTTTTTAGTGCAGACTACAGTGCCTTTGTGTTTAATATGATATAAAATTACTCTAAAGTGCTGCACATGAAAATATATAAGCATAAAGACATTAAAATTACAAGCACTATACAACTTAAAATACATGTCAAAGCCATAAGAATATACAGGAACTTTTAAAAAGACTACAAATTAAAGCCATAAGAATATACTTAAATAAACTTTTAAAAAGACTACAAATTAAAGCCATAAGAATATACATAAATAAACTTTTAAGAAGACAAGAAATATTTATGCATGTAAAATTGCTGTAATGTCCCATGTCATAAGACAATTCAAATTTAAAAATTAAAAACAAAGAAGCTTCTTAAGAATAATCTGCATGGGTATGCAGTAGTAAATAAATAAGTTTTTAAGAAATGTCTTTCAAATCTCAAGTTTTGAGGAAGACTGTTCCACAATGTTGCACCATAGCCACATCGAATCACCTGTCTGAATGTACCATGGGCCTGGTGATCATATCCTATGGATACATTTCTTGCTAGGATTTGTGAAGAGGCATGATGTCACAAAACCTTGACGTAGTGAAGTTGGGGAAGAGAATGTGCTCAGTCAGCTTGTATTATTCTCTCTGCTTTGTTGTTTTTATTTTTCACAGTAATTTTTTTATATTTTCAGGTTAAAAAGAACATAAAAGGTGAAGATACCTATGGCAGTCCTGTAATCAAGAAAACATGCCATGCATCTTCTGAAGTAGATCCCTGCCTACCAGATGCCCTTCTTGCTCAACAAATAGGAGAACTGTTAGCCTATCTTGACAAATCAGTTACACATATGGATCTCTGTGGAAGTGTTGGTAGAGATATTCTTGGATTTACGGTTGAAAAAACAAAAGTATGCCATTGTTAATTTGAATAAATACTCTATGCTTAAATAATATTTTTTACAACCTAATTTTGTCTATAATTTTTAGCTCACCTGAGCCGAAGGCTCAAGTGAGCTTTTCTGATCACATTTTGTCCGGCGTCCGTCTGTCCGTCTGTCTGTCCGTCTGTCCGTCTGTCTGTCTGTCTGTAAACTTTTCACATTTTCGACTTCTTCTCAAGAACCGCTGGGCCAATTTCAACCAAACTTGCCACAAAGTATCCTTGTGTGAAGGGGATTCAGGTTTGTTCAAATGAAGGGCCACGCCCTCATTCAAGGGGAGATAATTGGGAATTAATGAAAATTTGGTGGCATATTTTAAAAATCTTCTTCTCAAGAACCACTGTGCCATGAAAGATGAAACTTATGGGGAAACATCCTTAGGTAGTGTAGATTCAAGTTTGTTCAAATCATGACCCCCGGGGGTAGGGCGGGGCCAAAATGGCCGACCAAAGATTTACATAGAAATATATAGGAAAATTCTTTAAAAATCTTCTTCTCAAGAATGACAAAGCCATAATTCATCATATTTATATGGAAGCATGCTCAGGTAGTGTAGATTCAAGTTTGTTCAAATCATGACCCCCGGGGGTAGGGTGGGGCCAAAATGTCCGACCAAATTTTTACATAGAAATATATAGGAAAATTCTTTAAAAATCTTCTTCTCAAGAATGACAAAGCCATAATTCATCATATTTATGTGGAAGCATGCTCAGGTAGTGTAGATTCAAGTTTGTACAAATCATGACCCCCGGGGGTAGGGCGGGGCCAAAATGGCCGACCAAAGTTTTACATAGAAATATATAGGAAAATTCTTTAAAAATCTTCTTCTCAAGAATGACAAAGCCATAATTCATCATATATATATGGAAGCATGCTCAGGTAGTGTAGTTTCAAGTTTGTTCAAATCATGACCCCCAGGGGTAGGGCGGGGCCAAAACGGTCGACCAAAGTTTTACATAGAAATATATAGGAAAATTCTTTAAAAATCTTCTTCTCAAGAATGACAAAGCCATAATTCATCATATTTATATGGGAGCATGCTCAGGTAGTGTAGATTCAAATTTGTTCAAATCATGTCCCCCGGGGGTAGGGCGGGGCCAAAATGGCCGGCCAAAGTTTTACATAGAAATATACAGTGGACCCTCATTTATCCGGACGCTTTGGTTCCCAGTCAATTTGTCCGGATATGTGAAGCATCCGGATATCTGAATCACCAGTTAAACAAGACAGAATAATATTTAAAAATTTCGTTATGATGAAAAATCGTCCAGATACTGAAGCATCCGGATATCTGGCGTCCGGATATCTGAAGGTCCACTGTATAGGAAAATTCTTTAAAAATCTTCTTCTCAAGAATGACAAAGCCATAATTCATCATATTTATATGGGAGCATGCTCAGGTAGTGTAGATTCAAGTTTGTTCAAATCATGACCCCCGGGGGTAGGGCGGGGCCAAAATGGCCGACCAAAGTTTTACATAGAAATATATAGGAAAATTCTTTAAAAATCTTCTTCTCAAGAATGACAAAGCCATAATTCATCATATTTATATATGATGAATTCCATATGACCCCCAGGGGTAGGGCGGGGCCAAAATGGCCGACCAAAGTTTTTAAAGATATATATAGGAAAATTCTTTAAAAATCATTTTCTAAAAATAGCAAATCCATGATTGGTCATGGGACTACTTTTGGATTTAAACTTTACAATAAAAAGCCATTTTCTACTTTTTCCTACCCTTAGTGCTCAGGTGAGCGATGTGGCCCATGGGCCTCTTGTTAAATATTAAAACTAAGAAAAATAAAAGAAGGTGACAAATTTTCAGATCCACTAAGCAGGGTTCGACACTAACTTTTTAGCTCACCTGAGCCAAAGGCTCAAGTGAGCTTTTCTGATCAAAATTTGTCCGTTGTCTGTCGTTGTTGTCATAGTCGTTGTCGTTGTTGTTGTTGTAAACTTTTCACATTTTCATCTTCTTCTCAAGAACCACTGGACCAATTTCAACCAAACTTGCTACAAAGTATCCTTGGGTAAAGGGGATTCAAGTTTGTTCAAATGAAGGGCCACGCCCTTTTCCAAGGGGAGATAATTATGAATTAGAAAAAAATTAATGGCATTTTTAAAAAATCTTCTTCTCAAGAACCACTGGGCCAGGAAAGATGAAACTCATGTGGAATCATCCTCAGGTAGTGTAGATTCAAGTTTGTTCAAATCATGACCCCCGGGGGTAGGGTGGGGCCAATATGGCCGATCAAAGTTTTACATAGCAATATATAGGAAAAATCTTTAAAAATCTTCTTCTCAAGAACCACTGGGCCAGGAAAGATGAAACTCATGTGGAATCATCCTCAGGTAGTGTAGATTCAAGTTTGTTCAAATCATGACCCCCGGGGGTAGGGTGGGGCCAATATGGCCGATCAAAGTTTTACATAGCAATATATAGGAAAAATCTTTAAAAATCTTCTTCTCAAGAACCACTGGGCCAGGAAAGATGAAACTCATGTGGAATCATCTTCAGGTAGTGTAGATTCAAGTTTGTTCAAATCATGACCCCCGGGGGTAAGGTGGGGCCAAAATGGCCAATCAAAGTTTTACATAGGAATATATAGGACAAATCTTTAAAAATCTTTTTCTCAAGAACCACTGGGCCAGGAAAGATGAAACTCATGTGGAATCATCCTCAGGCAGCGTAGATTGAAATTTGTACAAATCATGACCCCCAGGGGTAGGATGGGGCCACAATGGCCGATCAAAGTTTTACATAGGAATATATAGGAAAAATCTTTAAAAATCTTCTTCTCAAGAACCACTGGGCCAGGAAAGATGAAACTCATGTGGAATCATCCTCAGGTAGTGTAGATTCAAATTTGTTCAAATCATGACCCCCGGGGGTAGGGTGGGGCCAAATGACCGTTAAAAGTTTTAAATAGGAATATATAGGGAAACCTTTTAAAATCTTCTTTTCAAGTACTTCAAAGCTTAGTGATATTTATAGGGAATTATCCTCAGGTAGTGTAAGTTCTAGTTTGCTCAAATCATGACCCACTGGGGGTTAAAATTCAAGCCCCCCCCCCCCCCCCCCCCCCCCCCCCCCCCCCCCCCCCCCGATATGTGCTTTTTTCTAGCCAATTGCTCAGGTGAGCGATGTGGCCCCTTGGCCTCTTGTTTACCTTGGTGGACCGCAGGTCTACTTGTCAAAAATTATTGGTGGACCTTCTCAATATCTGGTGGACCTTTATAAATGTTTGAATTAATGAATGAATCATTACATGAGGCATTAATTAAAGCTAACTTTAATACATGCCAATTCCAGTCAGACTAATAAAGGATAAATCTAACCAGTTAACAGAATCAAATCAATTAGGGACTAGTCAGAATTTTTTTTGTCAGAAATATAGTTGAACTTAAAAAAAAAACTAATCTACAAACCAAAAAAAAAAAAATTTTAACTATTATCATAAAGTTACAATGGTGAAAACGTAAAACCTGCATTTATTTTGTTTCCAAAGGTAGATTAAATTTAATATTCCAATTATTAATTAATTTATTCAAATATTAAACAAGTGAATTTTTCATGTATTTATGGTTAGATCTTTTTTTTTTTTTTAACTACGATGCAAAACTGAGATAGAAACATGTATGTGTATTAAACTATTAATCAATTATTTTTCTAAATTTATTATTTATTTAAATAAGTAAAGATATAATATAAATCAAGAAAAAAATGAAACTGCAAATTAGTTCATAAATGTAAATTACGCCTATTTGATCATCTATTTAAAAAAACAAAAAAAAAACAATGCATAAATGCAGCTGTCATTCAAATCTGATTATCTCCAACTGTGTGTGTTCAGGCGTGAAGCGATTTTCACACCTCTCTATGCATTATGTAAACAGAAGAGAGACTGGCTAATTTGGCATGGATTTTTCATGCTTCTTATTCAAGGTCCACATTGAATGTTCTTGCGTCTCAATATTATTGTTTTAATGTTTGAATTATCAATTTAACATGTAAAATATATCGAGTTGCTATGTCCCCCAGATTACCTAAAACATTATTTACATATATATTAATTTTTTGTAAAACACAGGTATGGAGGAATTAATAATTTGAGTTACGTATTTAAGAAAAAACCTGGAATTTCACTGTTTTTTTTTAATACAGTGTTTGAATTTTAAGTGGACCGACGGTCCACCCAGTCCAGAACATTTGGTGGACCTTCCAATTTTTTGGTGGACTCGGGCCGCCGGTCCACCGTTAGTGTCGAACCCTGCTAAGATGATCTTAGTGGATCATTGGAAGGTAGAATTCCCACTTTGAGATGCTTGACCTTCTCCAGAACCTCTGGATAGGATGAGGCCAAAATGGATGATCAAAGTTTACATAAAATTATATAGGAAAGATCTTTAAAAAATCTTCTTCTCAAGAACAGCAAAGCAATGATGATTCATATTTGTATGGAAGCATCTTCAGGTATAGTCCGAAAAAATCTGACATTTTCCCGGCTTTTTTTTTTGATTTTGATATTTTACATGCCAGGAAAATGTGAGAGCTGGTGCCATTACTAAAACTGGGAATTTCACCGTTTCAACCCAAAGTTGATTTTCTATACTTGGGAACCAAATTAGATGCAGAATTCACAATTTGTCAATGGCACCATGCTCCTAAAACTCAATGAATAGAATTTACAACTCCACATTCCGATTCAGAACTTGCAAGATTTTAAAATATACGAAATGAAAACAAATCTCAACAGTCAGATAAAATGTTTTCATTGTATTAGGGTGAATTCACCATGCATCGGACACCCTTGTACTTCAACAAGTTCTAGCGATATCGCTACCGATGGAAAATTATCAAAATGGAGTTCAACATTTAGTTTATGATTAAAATATCAATTTAGGACACAATTATATGCCGTTTATTGAGAAAATATCTCCAAAAATCGAGTTTTTAGGAAAAACTGAGAATTCTCCATGGATCGGACATTGTTCACCATGCATCGGACAGACGGTATGGAGACTGGAAAAAAGTCATACCTTTATCACAGTGCTTTAAAATCCTTGATATGGATATATTTTCATCTTTTATTTAAGAAATAAACCTCAACTTTAATTTAATCGATGATATTATTGCACAAATGTAGAACGATTCTAGAGACCTCACTCTGCCTTAGAAATGCTTTAAAATGCCGTAATTCGCACCTTTTTCTCATGGTTTATCATACTCTGAGTAAAATTCCAGACGACATATATCGATAACTTGTATTTTGACTGAAAATATAGAGTTTTTATTTTCTTTTTCCGCAAAAAACAGCTGTCAGCTGGGTTTTGTATGTAAATGGTAGTGCTTACCTTTGCATCGAAAAGTGTCTGATGCATGGTTAATTTGTGTCTGATGTACAGTGAAATTAGCATACAAGTAAAAACCAGCTCTAATAAGAATTAAACATTCAAGTGAAATTTCTTTATAATTTATGTAAAATTACCTATCCCTGACAAAATTCACCAAAGTCCGACTCGTTCCGTGGAAGTCGAATTTAAAAGAACGATAACTCTAAAAATTGCAAAATCATAAATTTCGGGTTATTCCCCTTTGATGATGTAAAATATGACGTAACTTCAAGGCCATTTGCGGGGTATTTTTATCACAACATGATAAACACAATCGGTATCATTAAAAAATTTAAATCTTCATCTTGATGACAGAAACAAATAAATACACAGAACTCTTAAGTTGAAAGAGTTTATTGCCTAAAGTTGTCCGAAGCAAGGTATGTGTCCGATGCATGGTGAACTCATCCTATATTATTTCATAAACGAACCATAAGAACGATGTTGGTGAATACTAAAGGTATTGTACTATTGATAAAATGTGAATTCAGCATTTAATTCGGTTTGCGAGTATTGAAAATCAAGCTGAGAATGCCGTCTCTGGTTAGAGGCGGCATATTCCCAGTTTTCATAATGGCGCTGGTACTGACGTTTTCCTGGCATGTAAAATATCAAAATCGTAAAAAAAAAGCCAGGAAAACATAAGATTTTTCGGACTAGTGCAGGTAGTGTAGATACAGGTTTGTTCAAATCATGACCCCTGGGGTAGGGCCACAATGGATGATCAAAGTTTTATATAGGAATACATTGGAAAAATCTTCACCAGAACCACTGGGCTAAGAAAGATGAAATGTTGAAACATCTTCAAGTAGCGTAGATTCAAGTTTGTTAAAATCATGATCCCCAGGGGTAGGGTGGGCCACAATGGACAATGAAAGATTTACGTAAGCTTATTCTATCACTTCATTTTACTAATGTACTCTATGGATCTTTTTATGGATTGTTTTTTTATTCTCAGGAGACCATTAAGGCCCTTCAAAACAAGGGCCACTTGTTAATTACAACTCTTATTATTATCACTCTCATTGAAAAAAAAAATTAAATTTTCTTTGCAGGTGACTGTTACACATCTACAGTTAACTGAACTCAGCTGGGAAAAAATTCAAAATACCACCAGAAAGGGATCACTTAAGCATATGGAGAAACCAGTTCTTCACTACAGTCGACGATATGATTTTTTGAAAAAATCGGAACGCCAAGAATTGTTTAAGGTTATTCTCCATATAAAATTAATGGATTTTGTTCATGAAAAAGTAGCAAGGCAGAGAAAAACTAAGGGGACAACTAACATCCTGTCTTAGAAGAAAATTTGACAAATCACCATCATTAATGCTGTATTGAAATAAAACAAGATGTATTTTAGCTCATCTGAACCAAATCTTCAAAGACCTATTCTAGGGCCATTTGTGCAGTGTGCATGAATGCATGAACTTTTTGGAATACTGGCCATATCTCAAGAACCTTTTCATCAATATTTGTCAAATTTATCACAGAGTGTCCTTTGCCCAAGGTCTTTAATTTATACCTAATAAGGATGTGACCATTAAACGGGGAAGATAATTATGGCAAAAAAGGGGGGCTTCTAATACATTGTCTCAAGAACCACTTGGCAGATTATCATCGAACTTGCAATTGAGGATGAAGATATGTTTTACATTAAAATTGTTTAAAGCATCACCCTTGGGCAAAGGGCATGGTCTCAAGGTCACTTCAAGGTTGACCTCAATTTTGTTTTGTTAAAAATTTCATATTTCGTCTACTATAAAGACTATAATCAACAAATATTGTCTGTTGACGCATCTTGGAACCTCATGTTGACTTACTGTGTCATAGTGATCTATTTTTCAGCTAACTTGAGCTGAAAGCTGAATTGAGCTCTTTTGTTAAAAATTGTCCATTGTCTGTTGTCTTTGGCATCAGCATTGCCATAAACTTTTCACATTTTGATCTTCTTTCCTTGAACCACTGGACAAATTTCCACCAAACTCTGGTGAAGAAAATTCAAGTTTGTTCAAATGAAGATAGTTTAAGATGAAATACTTTTGGAATTTTCTGGCTATATTTAAATATATCATACTGTAAACCAATTATTATACGCGTCATTTTTTATTCGCGACTGACCGCTGGAGAACTAATCCGCGACGATTTATTTCCGCGAACAAGTGGTCATTTTTTTTTTATTTCCACAAGTATTTTATTTTTTGCATCAAAATTTCATATCCGCTCATAAACTAGGTAAAATGCTACCGTAAGTACTGCTTATCTATTATTTAAGACATTCTGTGGATTGCGTCTATTTAAAATCTTATATCCGCACCTAAAGTAGGTAAAATGTTACCATGAGTATACTTCTTACGCATTATTCACGACGCTCGAATGAAAATCGGTTAAAAAAAATCAAGGAGATTTAAGTTGGTTTAAAACTCTCAAGTGTAAAAGTACCTCGTGCTAATTGGGTAATTGATGCTTTATAAGATCTACATAGCCAAAGGGCAATTATTATAAATGGTTGGGACGGAGCAGGACTGGGCCATAATTAGTTGTAATTAACCAGGCTATCTCCCACTCGTCCGCCTGTGTGACAATAAATGAACAATAATAACACAAGCTGAAATATTTATTGACATTTTAATCGTTTTAGACAAATATTTTTAGATTTTCCATTCGTTTATATATTTTTTCTGAATGTTTGTAATAAAACTTCAACTGCTTCTAGAACACTAAAATTCTTCCGTGATTACTTATTGAACCGTCGGGATCAGTACTCAAAAAAGGGCAAATAACTCTAATCATAACATGGGAAAATGAACAACTGGTTCGCGACGATAAATATCCGCGAGCAGAGGTTACTCGCGGAACTCGCGAATATTTATCGCACGCGTATAATACTTGGTTTAAAGTATACTGATTGTCTTACAATCATCAAATTTTGTTACTTGATGCATCTTAAGAACTTGGAGTATGTTCACTGAAAAGTAGGTCATGGTGACATAGTTATGAAATGATATTAGCTAATTTTCTTTTTCATTTGATGCATTTGAAGTCTGTGGAGTATTTCAACCAAAGAGTAGGTCTGGGTGACCTATGTTTGAAAATTTGAGGTTGTATTTAGATATTTCAGATATCACCTGTATCTGAAGTAATTTGTATTAATTTCCTGACCCGAAATTTTGGAACTTATGTAAAGGTTTTGTACATAATATAGATTGTAAATTGTTCAAATCATAGTTCCCTGGGGTAGGTTTGGATCACAATATACTGTATAGGGGGAAAATAACTTGCGGTGTTAATATTCGCTATTTTCACGGTGTTGATAAATCCGTGAATTCAAGAAACAGTGAATAAATTTTCAATAATCTACATGTTTAATTTGGAAATTTGAGATTATATAGACAACAGTATGTTTATAAACATATATGTGCAGTTCATGGCCATTTCAGTAATTACGAGTAGTATACTTGACATTCAATTATTTTAATTATCGCGCTTTACTTGAATTCCAATCAGCAGATAATAACCTGTACTTGTTAAAAAACTGTTTTAATAGCCAAGCTACGTTTCCTGAATCAAACACATGGGCCATGGGTTTTGCTTACACGTGCGAAAATAATCTTACACGTGTATTAAATTTTGTTACCTGTATTATCATGCATATCAATTTTAATCGACAATTTGGTTTTCAAAATCATTCAAATGACTATCGAACTTACTGAAGATGTGGAGGGATATTATTTTGATCGTCGGACTACATTAGTACATTTATTGCTGTCCAGTGGTTTTTCGCTGCGTTGTATTGAAGATCTTAGGTTGTACATGAACTCATCGTAATAGCATAATATAGGAAAGTCATGTGCGTTTACAGTCAAGGTCGTTTGAAAACTGTATTTGTTTTAATTAATTGTCAATTGCAAGTATTTTTTTTTATATCTAACAATTTTATATTAACCTACCCTGTTGTTCGTGAAATAAAGACATTATGCTTATTAATGTCGTTTACATGTAGCTATGGTATGGATTAAATGTATATAGTCAAGGGAGGTAATTTTTATTATATACCAATTCCGCGAATTCAAGAAACCGCGATCGTGTCAGATGAGAGAAAAATGTGAAAATTACAACCCGTGAAATTAATCCCCTGTACAGTAGGCTGATTTTAAGGGGGGAAATATGACTAAAATTTCCATAGAAAGGGATAATAAAAAATGAAATCTGATGAAAAAACACAATAGAACCATTGATTTGCAACATCCCAGGATCTGCCATAATTTTTAGCTCTACTGGTCAGAGACCAGAACAGTTTATGCGATAGTAATGCGTCCGGCGTCCGTCCGTCTGTCTGTAAACAATTTTTCAAAATGCTACTCCTCCTACAGTTTTGATCTGATTTCAGTATAACTTGGCACACAAGTAGACTACACTAAGATACATAATTCTTTATATCAGTTTTTGATTTCGACGAATGGTGTAGGCATTGTTACTAAAAATTAAAATTTCTGTGAAATTCTTTCAAAATGCTACTCCTCCTACAGTTTTGGTATGATTTCAATATAACTTGGCACACAAGTAGACTACACTACGGTACATAATTCTTAATATCCGTTTTTGACTTCAATGAACATTATTACCTTGGTTGATAAAGATAGCAATTTCTGTACTCTCAAAATGCTACTTCAAATACAGTTTTAGTCTGATTATAATATTATGTGGCAAGAAAGTAGTCTACACTAAGAACATAAAGAGACTTATTCAAGGATCATTATATTCTCTTTTTTGCTAGTGTAAAGTTTCAATTCCCAACTGCTTAAGTACTTTACTCTTCTTTTGCTATAAGTACAAACCAGTAGAGCTTCAGTCTCGACAGAGACTTCTGGTTATTTATGGACCCCGGGTTGGAGTTATCTAAAATCAAGATCAAATTTTACTTTCTTTAAAAATCTTCTCAAGAACAGCAAAGACAACTATTTTTAGGTCACCTGAGTAACTCAGGTGACCTATTGCTATCCGTTTTCATCCGTCGTCGTCCGTCATGTGTTAACATTTGAACATTTTCAGCTTCTTCTCTGAAACCACTGAACCAATTTCAACCAAATTTGATATACAGCATCTATGGGTGAAGGGGAACAAAATTTGTGAATGTCATGGTCCCCGCCCCCCTGGGGGGTGGGGCAAAAACCACTAAAATTAGTGCAATCTTTAAAAATCTTCTTTGCTCCTGGACTTCAAGCAGGCAAACTGTTTACATGAATGTAATGAGCATTGAGTCCTCTACCAAAATTGTGAAATTCATGGCCCCAGGGTCAGGGGTTCTAGTGCTAGGGCGGGGCTATATAGATTATATAGTGAAAATGCATTTATTCTTTGAAAATCTTCTCTGCTCCTGGGTATTAAATAAACTAAGCACATAGTTATTATGAACAAGAGTGCCTCCTATAAAATTGTGAATTTTATGGCCCCAGGGTCAGGGGTTCTGTTGTTAGGGTGGGGCTCTATTGATCATATAGTGAAAATGCATTAATTCTTTGAAAATCTTCTCTGCTTCTGGGTATTAAATAAACTAACTAAGCACATAGTTATGATAAACAAGAATGCCTCTTCTAAAATTGTGAATGTTATGGTCACAGGGTCAGGGGTTCTGGTGTTAGGGCGGGGCTCTATTGATTAGATCTAGTGAAAATGCATTATTCTTTGAAAATCTTCTTCTCTGCTTCTGGATGTTAAATAAATTAACTAAGCACACAGTTATGATAAACAAGAGTGCCTCTTCTAAAATTGTGAATTTCATGGCCCCAGGGTCAGGTGTTCTGGTGTGAGGGTGGGGCTCTTTTGATCATATAGTGAAAATGCATGAATTCTTTGAAAATCTTCTTCTCTGCTTCTGGGTATTAAAAAAAACTAACTAAGCACATCGTTATGATGAACAAGTGCCTCTTCTAAAATTGTGAATGTTATGGTCACAGGGTCAGGGGTTCTGGTGTTGGGGCAGGGCTCTATTAATTATATAGTGAAGATGCATTATTCTTTGAAAATCTTCTTCCCTGCTTCTGGGTATTAAATAAATTAACTAAGTACATAGTTATAATGAGCAAGAGTGCCTTTTCCAAAATTGTTAATTTTATGGCCCCAGGGTTAGGGGTTCTGGTGTTAGGGTTGGGCTCTATTGATTATATAGTAAAAATACATTAATTCTTTGAAAATATTTTCCTTTGCTTCTGGGTTTTATGTCAATGATTCAAGTATATATATTTATGATGAAGAAAGTTGCATCTAGCAAAGTGGGTGTTTTTGCCCCCTGGGTCAGAGGATCCGGGGGGGGGGGGGGGGGAAGGCTGCATAGTCTGAAAAAAAACCAATGTTTTTTAATCTGTTCTTTGTTATTAATCAATCATTTTGTTTTAAAATTGCAAAATTTTGAAATATGTGGCCCCTGGGTCAGTGGTTCCTTTGGGGTGAGGTGCACAACTGGGTATAAAGTGGAAGTGCATTTTGTCTTTGTTACTCTGATATACCTCTGTGTATTAGGTAAATAGAGTAAGCATGCTAAGTTAATAATTATGATAAGCAATGGTGCCTCTTTCAAAATTGTGAATTTCATGGCCTCTGGTTTAAAACACGAACCAAAGTTAAAACATGATCTTTTGTTTGTGTTGTCCATTCTATAGCTTAGTGTTGAGCTAACTTCCCTAACAATCCATTAAGTCACCTGTAAGTGTCCATTCTTTTTGGAAAACTGTCCATTCTTTTTAAGAATGGACAGTTTTTTCAATAAGAATGGACAGTAAAAAGCAAACAGAATGGACAGTTAAAACAAATAGAATGGAGAGTTACAGGTAAACCTTGGCATGTGCACAAGAGGGAAATAAAAACAAATTAATATATTAAATACGATTTAATGTACATGTGAATAACAAAAAGAACTTTGAGATATGTTAATCCAGGACACAGTGTCTGCATCGGATCTGTTCGATTTTACACAATTAAATCCATGAATAACGCACATTATTTCAATTCACAAAACTTGAATTTAAATGAAACAATTTCTTAATTGATTAAGATTTTGGAAGCATCATTCCCTCGAAAAGAATCCATTTTAAACGTGAAGTAGGCTTATATTAAATCCATCACCAGAAAACAGTTTGCACCATGAAAACTACACTGCTGCAGTGAATATTTCGGTAGCAAATAATTAAAATTGAAACATTTCCAGATTTGATTTAATATACATTTTCAATTCGAAGTTCGGAACATGGCTATCCAACACTCAGAACACAATTTGCATTTCACCATTACACTGCTGCAATTAATATATCCTCAAAAACGAAATTCGAATTTAAAAAAAAAATTCAGGTGTGAATTCGAAATATCTGTATTTGTCGTCAAATTTTTGAGGGATCAAAGTTTGGATAATATTTTCTTTCACGCTTACTATTCTCTATTTCGAGGTCAAAGTATCACTGGTTGTGTGCATCTTTTGGTTTTAATTCGATTTCTAGTCTGTCATATATTCTCTCCATCGGTGGGAAACATGTTTGCCCTTACAACGCAAAATATAAACTGATTTTGAGGAGTTGCATTCTTATATTAAAACTAGCATCCCCTGAAATCCACCTGTAATTGTCCATTCTTTAGACAAAGACTTGTTATTTGCATATGGAAACACAATGGCTATTCAACAAATTGCTGTGCACCCCAAGCTTACCTGTAACTGTCCATTCTGTAAACAATGAATTTTTAGAATGTGTGCTACCTGTTTTGCACATTTTTTGATTAAATTTTCAGAACAAAGAGAATCATGTTTTAAGTAGGAGAAAGGCCTCAAACTGTCCGTTCTGTGAAAGAAAGAACTAATCTCGGGCCTACGGCCCTCGATTAGTTCTTTCTCTCACAGAATGGACAGTTTTCGGCCTTTCTCCTTTACTTAATTGTTTGAAAGTTGTTGCACAATACTCAGGTGACCTATAAGGCCCGTGGGCCTCTTGTTAAATTTAAACTTTTCAATACTGAATTGATTTCTGCTTTTTCCTAGCCAAAGTGCTCAGGCGAGCTATGTGGCCTATGGGCCTCTTATTTGCTTTAATGTAAAAATATAAGTATTTAGTAAAGATGTGTTGTTTTGACAAAAAAAAATCAAGTTTTAAAGCATTAAAAAAAATACATGTGTGTCAGGATAACTTGAGTGATGCATAAAATTTATGTAAAGGAGATAGGCCGAAAACTGTCCATTCTGTGAGAGAAAGAAATAATCGAGGGCCGTAGACCCGAGATTAGTTCTTTCTTTCACAGAATGGACAGTTTGAGGCCTTTCTCCTACATAAAACATGATTCTCTTTGTTCTGAAAATATAACCAAAAATGTGCAAAACAGGTAGCACACATTCTAAAAATTCATTGTTTACAGTTACAGGTAAGCTTGGGGTGCACAGCAATTTGTTGAATAGCCATTGTGTTTCCATATGCAAATAACAAAAGGTCTTTGTCTAAAGAATGGACAATTACAGGTGGATTTCAGGGGATGCTAGTTTTAATATAGAGCTAATTGCAAAAAAGGCTAACGTATTGCGCTGTTTGTGACGTGCTAACGCTTTGCTTGTCTAGAGGTTTAAATACTACGTCACATTCTTGCCACATCAAAGGAAGTAGCTGAGATTGCTTCTCTCCAACACTATAGTCGGTCAGCTGCAATACACATCGCCGACGTTAAACTGTTTAAAAAGGGGGAGAGGCAGCACAAATTTTATTAAACAGTTGAAAAAGAGCATTATTATGCATTTTTTAGAGTCCACGATAAATTGAAGGTGATAATTGTATATTTTATAGCATTTGCCATTTGTGTACATGTATATGTCACAATTTATATTGTATTAACGCAAGCGAAAGGGAAAAAATGGAGCTGTAGAGACGAGACGATTGTAGCTGCCTTGGGAAAATGAATGAACATACACTGAATTGGTAAAGGGAACCCCAGGAGAGGGTCTGGTGAATTTTCCGTTTCAGATTACTGAGTATTTCTTTCATATCATCATGTAAGTCAGGGACGGATAACTTCTTTTCTTTTTTTCATCCGAAAAATGTTTGACAAGCCAAGGAAAAAAAGGTAAACTCTATTCGGGTAAGGTTAGTTCAAAATATATTTTATTCATTGAATTGGATTGAACAGCAGACTTAGATGCCTATGTTTGTTCTCTCAATAACTCAAGGTACAATTACGAGTACATGTAATTGATGTGAACATTGAAAAAAATGTATGAGGAGTAGACTTTCAATTGGTACATACATGTATTTAGAATGAATTCAGAGAGAGAGAAAGAGAGAGAGGAGAAGAGAGATCATAGAGTAAAACAAATAAATATAAAGAGAATAATTTAACAAATGAATAATTTAATTTTACTTGTAACACGTCATTTGATTGGATGAAAGATTTTATCCATTTTGTATAACATAACTTGCCTACGTCACAATGAGTTACGTCAAAAACGTATTACTCCGCTTGACGTTACTTTTAAAATTTAATCAGTGTGAAGTCTTATTCTAGGGGGAAAATTGTCTTATTATTTGCACTGAAATTAAATTATAAGGAACGAAGCTTATTTCAACTTATATTATACGATATAACAAAACTTGGGGCAGTTTACGCTTTTTTATAAACCGCTTCGCAGCATAAAATGTTTTCATTGATTAATTGTTTAATTCAAGTTTTAAAGACATTTAACTATGCTGGTAATATTCAAGAAAACGACATCTGGACTGTCTAGTCCACTTTTTTTACCAAACAAACAAGCTGTATGTTGCAGCTGACCGACTTTAGCGTGGGAGAGAAGCGATCTCGGCTACTTCCTTTGATGTGGTGACAATGTGACGTAGTATTTAAACCTCTCGACAAGCAATCCGTTAGCCTTTTTGCAATTACCTATAAGAATGCAACTCCTCAAAATCAGTTTATATTTTGCGTTGTTAGGGCAAACATGTTTCCCACCGATGGAGAGAATATATGACAGACTAGAAATCGAATTGAAACCAAAAGATGCACACAACCAGTGATACTTTGATCTGGAAATAGAGAATAGTAAGCGTAAAAGAAACATTTATTTATCCAAACTTTGATCCCCTCAAAGATTTGACAACAAATACAGGTATTTCGAATTCACACCTGAATTTTTTTTTTTAATGTAACGTGCAAGGGAGGTCACTGCCTGTGAACCCCCGCAGGCTCGTACCCGTGATAAAAACGGATAGCCTTGAGATGCTGCAAATATGTACAATGCGCAGTCTTAATCACTTGGTACTGCGTTATATAAAGTCTTTACTGGTAGCGAACAAGTGACACTGGCTGGGAAGTCCACACACCAGCGCACTTCCACAAGAGACAAGCAGGGATGACCGCACACTTGCCCTTGGGCAGTGACAAGCAGGGATGGCCACACACTTGACACTAATACGGTTCTAGCCTAGAGACACTGGCAGGGATGTCCGCACACCAATGCTCTACCACAAGATGCAGGCAGGGATGTCCACACACCTGATCTTGCGCAGCAACAAGCAGGGATGTCCGCACACTTGCTGCTAAGAGATGCCAATCACAGAGCAGGGATGACCACACACTCTGTCAAGTAATAAGCAGGGATGACCACACACTTACTACTTAAAACAGTACATTATAAGCAGGGAAGTCCGCACACTTATATGTACACACACAGGTTTGTCAAGTTTTACCTCTAGAACCGACCTCGCAATCCTCGCCAGTAAAAATCCTATATATCCTAACACCATCTAAAATACTTGGTGATTATTTATTTACAAAGTAATTAAAACACGAATCAAGCTTCCAATCAACCAATCTTTAGTAATCCAACTAGTGTAACATACAATGATTATTATTGATAACTTTAATTCAAATTCAACACTAATTAAGTATTTATTTAAGCACATATATAATTAGTTATTAAAATGACAAGGGCGATATCTTTCGCTATAATGAAAATATAGAAAACGGCTTTCCGTTTCATCACCCCCACCCCAGCTTTATGCGTCCTCGCATAAAAAAAAACAGAACTGCATTTTTAAGAATCGAACAAATGCTATTTACAAAAACAAATATCTACACTGTATTCCCCATTCTGCAAAATAAAATATGTAAAAATATTCTACTCAACAGAATAGTAATTACAGTATCACATTTACCATTGCGCAAAACAAAATGTTATATTTTGTTTAACCCAATGGTAAACAGAACCAATCAGGTTCACTTGCTGGCCCAGGTGCCTTTCATTTCTTTGAATTCCCTCTGCAAAGTCTCAAACTTTGCGCTTAATTCCTCAAGTATCGAGGCAGTTCTTCCTTCCGCGGATTCAACGGTAGTTGGGCGCGCATAGTTCTTTTTCTCAGCTCTGTTGTAAGCTTCTAATTCGACAGCCAATTGTATAGCTTCATTAAGATGTTTAGGATGCTCCTGCTTTATGCGGATGCGCATTTCCGAGTCGACCAATGCGTCCACAAATTGGTCTTTAGACAGCGTTTCCCGAATCTCAGCTGACGCAGTGGGGTAGGCTAAGTTGGCAAGTCTGCGAATAGCCTGCCCTAACTCCGGAAAAGATTCTCCAGCTCTTTGGCGCCGCTCACGCATCTGCACCCTGTATAGCTCCGTTTGACTCGGGGGTGAAAATCTGTCTTCAAGGGCTTTAACAAGTGTTTGATAATCGGGCTTTGCACCCTTTGGCATGTTCCCTAACACTCCTTGCGCACTTCCCCGAAGAGAAACTGCTAAGTACAATCCTTTCTGATGATATTTCCATCCACTTATTTCCGCACATGCCTCGAAATGCGCATGATAATCCAACCAAGGTCCACTGCCATCATATGCTGGCTTTATCATTTGTCTTGGTGATGGAAATTCTGTTAGGGCATCGTCTCCCCTTTGAGGACTTCTAAATCTTACTCTGGATCTCCTTGTTATCCCAGGGAGAAGAGAATCGTCTTGATCGTCTCTGTAAAGTTCTTCAGGACGAAGTCTACGCCAATGTTTGTCGTTTTGCGCCGCTTCTCGATCGAATCTTGTAGGAGACTCTGAATGAATGTAATCGCAGGGTCTTGCTCCGGTTTCTCTAAACATGTCCCTGAGAGATTGTCCTAGAGACTTTTCTTCAAGGATAGGTGCGCGCTGGGTTAGCGCACCATCATGTTCAAGCGCTAATGACTTTTCTTCTGTCTGCCGCAATTCTCCGGAGATGCGAGATTCACCAACACCCGAGTCTCTTACTTTGTCTTTTATACGTGGGGTCACTGGAGTCGACGACTTGAAACTTCTATTCCTGATACTTTCCTCCTTCAGCTCCGCAAGCTTCTCTTCTATCAAAGTCGGTTCTTTGTCCACGTCTTCCATCGTTCAGCTATCTCAAGGTATCCCACCGTTGCCACCAAATTTTATGTAACGTGCAAGGGAGGTCACTGCCTGTGAACTCCCGCAGGCTCGTACCCGTGATAAAAACGGATAGCCTTGAGATGCTGCAAATATGTACAATGCGCAGTCTTAATCACTTGGTACTGCGTTATATAAAGTCTTTACTGGTAGCGAACAAGTGACACTGGCAGGGAAGTCCACACACCAGCGCACTTCCACAAGAGACAAGCAGGGATGACCGCACACTTGCCCTTGGGCAGTGACAAGCAGGGATGGCCACACACTTGACACTAATACGGTTCTAGCCTAGAGACACTGGCAGGGATGTCCGCACACCAATGCTCTATCACAAGATGCAGGCAGGGATGTCCGCACACCTGATCTTGCGCAGCAACAAGCAGGGATGTCCGCACACTTGCTGCTAAGAGATGCCAATCACAGAGCAGGGATGACCACACACTCTGTCAAGTAATAAGCAGGGATGATCACACACTTGCTACTTAAAACAGTACATTATAAGCAGGGAAGTCCGCACACTTATATGTACACACACAGGTTTGTCAAGTTTTACCTCTAGAACCGACCTCGCAATCCTCGCCAGTAAAAATCCTATATATCCTAACACCATCTAAAATACTTAGTGATTATTTATTTACAAAGTAATTAAAACACGAATCAAGCTTCCAATCAACCAATCTTTAGTAATCCAACTAGTGTAACATACAATGATTATTATTGATAACTTTAATTCAAATTCAACACTAATTAAGTATTTATTTAAGCACATATATAATTAGTTATTAAAATGACAAGGGCGATAACTTTCGCTATAATGAAAATATAGAAAACGGCTTTCCGTTTCATTAAAATTCGAATTCCGTTTTTGAGGATATATTGATTGCAGCAGTGTAATGGTGAAATGCAAATTGTGTTCTGAGTGTTGGATAGCCATGTTCCAAACTTCGACCTGAAAATGTATATTAAATCAAATCTGGAAATGTTTCAATTTTTAAATTAATTATTTGCTACCGAAATATTCACTGCAGCAGTGTAGTTTTCATGGTGCAAACTGTTTTCTGGTGATGGATTTAATATAAGCCTACTTCAAGTTTAAAATAGATTCTTTTCGAGGGAATGATGCTTCCAAAATCTTAATCAATTAAGAAATTGTTTCATTTAAATTCAAGTTTTGTGAATTGAAATACTATAGTAATGTGCGTTATTCATGGATTTAATTGTGTAAAATCGAACACTGATCCGATGCAGACACTGTGTTCTGGATTAACATATCTCAAAGTTCTTTTTGTTATTCACATGTACATTAAATCGTATTATATATATTAATTTGTTTTTATTTCCCTCTTGTGCACATGCCAAGGTTTACCTGTTACTCTCCATTCTATTTGTTTTAACTGTCCATTCTGTTTGTTTTTTACTGTCCATTCTTATTGAAAAAACTGTCCATTCTTAAAAAGAATGGACAGTTTTCCAAAAAGAATGGACACTTACAGGTGACTTAATGGATTGTTAGGGAAGTTAGCTCAACACTAAGCTATAGAATGGACAACACAAACAAAAGGTTTACGTCACAATCATGTTTTAAATACATTGTATAAACTTTAAGAAATTATGAATTAAGAAAATATTTTTTTTTAATGTTTTGACTATTACATGAATATTATTAATTAATTGCCTACCTTTTATATTTTTGTCACATATTTGCATTGTTCAGTGTTCACCATTTTTAGGTCACTTGAGTAAACTCAGGTGACCTATTGCTATCTGTTTTCGTCCGTCGTCGTCCGTCGTGCGTTAACATTTAAACATTTTCAGCTTCTTCTCTGAAACCTCTGAACAAATTTCAACCAATTTTGGCATAAAGCATCTATGGGTGAAGGGGAACAAAAATTGTGAATTTCGTGGTCCCTGCCCCCCTGGGGCCTGGGGGTGGGGCAAAAACCACTAAAATTAGTGCAATCTTTAAAAATCTTCTTCTTTACTCCCGGACATCAAGCAGTCAAACTGTTGGTATGATTGTAATCAGCATTGAGTCCTCTACCAAAATTGTGAAATTCATGGCCCCTGGGTCAGGGTTTCTGGTGTTAGGGGGGTGGGGCTCTATTGATTATATAGTGAAAATGCATTAAATCTTTGAAAATCTTCTTCTTTGCTCCTGGGTATTAAATAAACTAATTAAGTTCATAGTTATGATGAGCAAGAGTGCCTCTACCAAAATTGTGAATTTTATGGCCCCAGGGTCAGGGGTTATGGTGTTAGGGTGGGGCTCCATTGATTATATAGTGAAAATGCATTATTTCTTTGAAGATCTTCTTCTCTGTTCCTAAGTATTAAATAAACTAATTTAGTACATAATTATGATGAGCAAAAGTGTCTCTACATAAATTGTGAATTTTTTGGCCACAGGGTCAGGGGTTATGGTGTTAGGGCGGGGCTTTATTGATTATATAGTGAAAATGCATTAAATCTTTGAAAATCTTCTTCTCTGCTCCTAGGTATTAAATAAACTAATTAAGTACATAGTTATGTGGGGCAAGAGTGCCTCTACCAAAATTGTGAATTTTTTGGCCCCAGGGTCAGGGGTTATGGTGTTAGGGCTGGGCTCTATTGATTATATAGTGAAAATGCATGAAATCTTTGAAAATCTTCTTCTCTGCTTCTGAGTATTAAATTAACTAATTAAGGACATAGTTATGATGAGCAAGAGTGTCTCTACATAAATTTTGAATTTTATTGCCCCAGGGTCAGGGGTTATGGTGTTAGGGCGGGGCTCTATTGATTATATAGTGAAAATGCATTACATCTATGAAAATCTTTTTCTCTGCTTCTGGGTAATAAGCAGATGAACTATTTACATATTTATGATGGGCTCTTCTTCCAGAATTGTGAATTTCAAGGCCCCTGGGTCTGGGATACCAATATTTAAGGGGGGGGGGGCTCTACTTATATACTGAAAATGAATTGTTTGAAATATGCTCCTTGGTATTAATAAAACATTTTTTTATAATCGAGTGTGCCTTTTCAAAAATTGTGCAATGTGTAGACCTAGGGTCAGGGGTTCATGTGTGGTAGGAGCACTCCTGATTATAGCTGAATATTACTGATTAGTTGACATACATTTTTGTTCCCCTACCCTGCTTATGGGTATTAAGTAAACAAACCAAACAATTACTAAGTGTATAGTTATGATTAGCATTGGTGCCTCTTTCAAAATCGTGAATGCAATAGCATCTAGCTTAAAACATTCATTTGAAAGTTGTTGCATGATGCTCAGGTGACCTATAAGGCCCGTGGGCCTCTTGTTTTAATTTATGTACATGTTTATGACATGAATGATTTCAATTGTTAACACAATGTGAATAATAACAAGGCAGCTTCCAAAGTCAATAAAGTACGGTAATATACATGTATGTTTAATTGGTGTAATACATGACATCTAAAAATTAAAATGTGTTTTTATTTTTTAATTACCATTTGTCATCTCTTATAAATCCAAATTTTAACCAGAACAGTATAGTTGCATACTTTCTGTTTTTCTCCAACTATGAACATGCACTGAAAAGTTGCATTCATAATACAGAAATGAATTTAGTTTTTGAAAATTCACTAGGACATGAATTATGACGCTTCATGCCGCCATATTTTATTAAACACGTTTGCGCTTCATGATGAATATGCTGGCGAGAAGCGTTGTAGTTCATGTATATCATGAATTTTCAAAAACTAAATTGGTATCTGATATTGACTTGATTTTCTGATGAGTTACAACAAATTATGCCATTTAACTTTCATTTGTAAAGCAAAACCCTTTGCGCTACAGTTTTGACGTGAAGCATGTTATTATGACGTAACAATGGAGACCAGCTTATTGATGGTAGTTCATGAGAAAATGAATCGTTTTGGAATTCATAAAGAATCATAGGTAAAAATTATTGGAAATGCAAATATATCACAGTGACTATGTACACAACATCAGCTGGTAGGATTGCAGTTCCTTTCTCACATGCGTACAGAACAAGTTTATTAATAGAATGCATTCAGAAATATATAATATATGAAGTGTTGTGCAAAAGGAATGTTAGTTTTAATTAAAAATTTGGGGGAAAAAGAAATTCAAAATAAATAAAATTTGCTGAATGAGGTGTAGCAATATTTATGCCCTGCCATGAATATGGCCGAAGCGTATAGTGTTTGTCATGTCCATCTTCCGTCTTTCTGTCCTTCCGGTCGCCCGCCTCTTACGTCGCGGGTTCGAATCCTACTGCGGGACATGGAGACCAGTCCTTCAGATGAGACCCCGTGTCGCAGTAGGTGCTGGCACGAAAAAGATCCCTCACTGCTCAAAGGGACGTTAAACAACATACAATCAATCAATCATTCTGTCCTTCCGTCAAACTTTGTGTTAAGCTCTGTTCAAAGCTCAGTTGCATAGAAACTATCCAAGATATTTTCATCAAACTTTATATGCTGATAGATACTGATAAGAGCTATACAACTGCATCAACATTTTTTGATCTTGACCTTTCCTTTGACCTTGACCACACTTTTCTTTAATTAGTGTTTAGCTCAGTTTTTTAACATATCATTCAAGATGGTGTTATCAAACTTCAGATGTTGATACATACTGATGAGAGCTATTTAACTGCCATCACCATTTTGACCCTGACCTTTCATTTGACCTTGACCTCACTTATCTTTAATTAGTGTTAAGCTCAGGATAAAGATACCCTTCAAGATATTTTTTATCAAACTTCATGTTGTTACATGTACATACTGATGAGAGCAATTCAACTGCATCAACATTTTTGACCATGACCTTTCCTTTGACCTTGAACACTTTTCCTAAATCAGTGTCAAACTTCATATGCTGATACATATTGATGTAAACAATTCAACTACATCAACATTTTTGACCTTGACCTGTTATTTGACCTTGACATTTCCTGTGACCTTGACTTTATTTATCTTAAATTAATGTTGAGTTTTAAAGATACCATTCAAGATATTTTTATCAAACTTCAAACTTTGTTACATACTGCTAAGAAAAATTCAACTACATTAACATTTTGACCTTGACCTTTCCTTTGACCTTTACCTCACTTTTCCTAAATCAGTGTCAAACTCTGTATGCTGATACATACTGATGAGAGCGATTAAACTGCATCAATATATTAGACCTTTCCTTTGACCTGAACCTCACTTTTCCTAAATCACTGTCAAACTCAATATGCTGATACATACTGATGTAAGCAATTCAACTGCATCAACATTTTTGACTGACCTTTTATTTGACCTTGACCTCACTTTTATCAAATTGTGTTTTAGTCAGTTTTTATTAAAGAAATCATTCTAGATATTTTTTTATGAAACTTCATATGTTGATACATATTGATGAGAGGTATGCAACTGCATCAGCATTTTTGACCTTGACCTTTCCTTTGAC